TCTATCTTAACCGATAATGGAGGCGAATTCATCAACGAGCTCATGACACGATTGACCACATTGCTCGGAATCACCCACATCAAGGTCTCTCCCTACCACCCCGAATCAAATGGACAATGCGAACGCTTTCACCGCACGCTTGCTAACATGCTCGCAGAAGCCAATTCAATTATTCTCGGCTGAGACGAGCGCCAACTCCTCTGCCGGCCCACTTTGGCTTAGAAAGAAGAAAAACGCGAGCTTGACTAAACATAATTATCATTGTAAACGCACGCCGGTGTATATGATCGCTGTATGTACGCTGTGGTACTTTTCCATATAGAAAAAGCATTGTATATACAGTCGACGACTAAAGGCTACAGGAGGGATATGGATTTACCAGACGGATGGATTTTAGGAGCGTTCGTGTGAGCGAGCTATTTACAGATCTGATGAAATAATGATTGCTCAATCCAACAATTAGACATATGAAATTGGCGAGAGTCATCGCCTTGCACAAAAAATGAATCATAATTTCACAATTTAATAAATTGTCATATTGATCATGCGTGTAGCATATATTTGCTAGAATTTAGAGTATGTACAATGTTATGTTTGAGCACAATGGAAAGAAGTGTGTTAGCCATGCTTTTTCATTGCGTATTCATCGTGCAGAATTTCGCAGCTGTATAATATGACCATTGCATTCGACCATTTCCATCACTCGGTACCCGACGGTCGTGCGCGCAATCCGATTTTCATCACTCGGTACCCGACAGTCGTGGTCGCAATGCCATTTTGCATCACTCGGTACACGACGATCGGGTATATAATACCTTCATATAATATATCATTCGACACTATACTATTATTTGCGCTAACAAATGTTAACAAATCTCTATTGTTCAACGGCAATGGCAACTGTCAAGAACAACATTATGTAACAACTAGATGATGACTAGGCCTATTTCAATGTTGTCTCACCAATGGAAAGTAATTTTCGTGCTTTTCACTCCTCACATGGAACAACCTTACACTTGTATATGCACTACAACAGCGTGGCATGATATATCGATGGATGCAAGATCGATGGCTATGTATGAATGCGAAACTATATATGCTCTATATGCTCTATGCAGAGGGCTATGCTATATGCACTGTGCTCTGCTATATATACATGCTCGAACTATTACGTCATCATCGGAAACATCAGACCATCGGGGGTACTAAGATGGATACGGTAAGTTGACGCGCACGTCACGATTGCAGGTAGACTGGTACGGACCTTCACTCCGCGAAGTATCCTTCGCTACACTCAACTTATAGTTAGTGCAGCGTGTGGAACTCTCCACCGCGCAGCAGTCTACGCTCAATGCCGATCCTTGTGTGGAAAAATACCTTGAAAATGCCTCGTACCTGGCCTCGTCGTACCATCTATGTGTAGCCATATGTACGAGAATAATTTCACGGCGTGAAACGGAAGAAATGCAAACTCGTTTTCTAGAAGAAAAGCAAACGCGCCGACAAGCAAACGAGCAATTACGAGCATTTGTATTAACTCTCTACCTACGTGCATAGTCTAAAGGCTTGTGGAACCGCCACAACTCCTCAATTGACCGATTATACCGCTTTATCCCCTACCCAACGGGCACTGTCGAAACAGTGTTGTAAAGAGGGCAGCGAATCCGATAAAAAGTGCCGCTCCACGGCGCTGTTCGCGCTTTGCGCGGATATCCGGCTGCAGATCGTCTAGTTGTTACATAATGTTGTTCTTGACAGTTGCCATTGCCGTTGAACGATAGAGATTTGTTAACATTTGTTAGTGCAAATAATAGTACAGTGTCGAATGATATATTATACGAAGGTATTATATACCCGACCGTCGTGTACCGAGTGATGCAAAATGGCATTGCAAGCACGACCGTCAGGTACCGAGTGATGAAAATCGCATTGCGCGCACGACCGTCGGGTACCGAGTGATGGAAATGGTGGAATGGAATGGTAGTATTATACAGCTGGGAAATTCTGCACGATGAAAACGCAATTAAAAAGCATGGGTAACACACTTCTTTCCATTGTGCTCGAACATAACATTGTACATACTATAAATTCTAGCAAATATATACTACACGCATAATCAATATGACAATTTATGAAATTATGAAATTATGATTTATTTTTTGTGCAAGGGGATGACTCTCGCCAATTTTATGTCTAATTATTTGATTGAGCAATCATAACTTCATCATATCTCTAAATGCCACGCTCATACAAACGCTCCTAAAATGCATCCGTCAGGTAGCCTTGAGTCGTCGACTGTATGCAATGATTTTTCTATATGGAAAAGTACCACAGCGTACGTACAGCGAAATTATACGCCATCGTGCGTTTACACTGAGAATTATATTCAGTCAAGCTGGCGTTTTTATTGTTTCAAAGCCAAAGCGGGCCAAAGCGGATAGGCATTTTTGCATGTATTAGATGGTCCCAGCGTACCGCCTAAAGCAAAAACTTCGTCTACCCCTGCGGTCGAGGGGGGCCCTGGTTGCTCTTCTGTAATTTGCGACTTCGCAGAAAAACTTGCAACTCGCCTGCTCGCAGTTACCTTGACGGTCACCGTGAGAAAAACGACATGCGGTGCCTGTGGCGATTGCGTGCCTTCCTGTGTGTGCATACACGGGATACATATACGTCTTTATGTGTACGTGTAGCGTCTAGATACACGCGTATCACTATGCGCGCATCTTCCATGTATCTGTGCATATGCAGGTGCGTGCGGGCGTGCGTGTACGCCTACATGCAAGCATCCGCGTGCACGTGCCTGCGAGCGTGCGTATGCGCGTGCGTCCGGGCGTGCGCGTGCGTGCATACGTTTAGTTGCTTTGTGTGGATATGCTTTGTCATCGCACAGTTCGCTGTACACGCTCATGCGTGCGCACACATTGTAATGATTACGCCCGCACGCAGGCACGCACAGACGGACGCACGTACGCACGCCCGTACCTACTTATACAGGCAGCTAAGCACGCAAGCACATAGCTAGCTGTAGTACTACAAAGCACACAAATACGCACACACGTGCTTATACATGTATGAACGCACGCAGTTACACACCGACGCATGTACGTACGCACGCAGGCCGGCACAGACATTTCTATAGGTACATTATGGTAACAACGATTATGGCAAAACCAACAGCGTAACTGCAATGTTACAATCACTTAATTGGCCGAATCTTTAATTATGCTGTAAAGAGAAGCGACTCAACCTTCTCAACAAAATTCTCTCTTGAAGTACTGCGATCCCCAAAGAAAAGTACATCAGGATGGGTCCATCGCGCACAAGGAGCAAAAACGACAACAAACTCGTCATTAGTCAGCAGTCATTAGAACCTCAACAGAGGAATTCAAGAACTCATTCTTTCCACGGACCATCGTGGACTGGAATGCCTGCACACAAACCGTAATCGACGCCATCTGTGTCGCGGTCGCAGCCGTGAGCACCTAATTTCACCATGCCCCACCACCTGCGTCATAACACGCGTATACACGCAGTACACAATCAAGATTTGATAGTGCGAGATACAGATTCAAGAACAAGATGGCGGATGTAAACGCCAGTTTGTATGACGATATCAGAAGTAGATAATAGGAAAATAAAAAATCCCTATTATCTACTTCTGAAGATATGTATATCAGGATGGACAATTAGTGCAAAATAACGATATGAAACTTTTTTTTAAATATTAATTGCTCAAAATCGCTGTTTTGCATTTATATATAGTTTATTTACCAAAAAATACTTTACATTAAAGGCATAATAAGCCCATTGATTCAGCAATGTTGACGAATGCTAGAGTAACTGGCACCTTGTGTAGTTAATAAGTACATAACCGTATAGCCTAACGCGTATTAGTTTGACCAATATCACTGCTGGTTACATTACAAGTGTAGCGTTTTGTGATCTTCCGGCGACACCCGATGGCGCCACCGGTCAAAACGTAGTAACTAGCAACAACCTTAGGCTTCTCACTCACCTGTTGTACCCGGAGGCGTTAAAATGACCGTATCGTTGCCACTCAGACTCCGCTAGTAACTCGAGCCCCTCAGTGCTACTGCGCTCCTGCAATAACCCATTCCGCCATGTTCCGGTTCCGGTGCGTCGTAGAGTTAGTCAACAATGTGAGACGAGTAACGGTGTAGCAGGGTACAATCAATGGCCACGTATATCTACGTATAACTGTGTGTATCTGTGTAGCAGGGTAGAGTCAATAGTTGTGTATCTACGTGTATCTAGCCGATAGCGGCACTTAGAGGATAATCGAGTTAAAGACAAGTAGCGCTAGAAACCGATCGGTGTGTATCTGTATGTATGTCTATATCTACACTATATCTGTGCATGGCCGGGGTTCCATAATTAGGTTACCTCCACGAGTGCTATGGCCGGCACGCTGTAATCGGGCTATAGTGGCGAGCGCCTCTATCTCGGGGCGCTGTAATTGGATTACAGCTATGAGCGCCGCACTTAGCCGCAGTAACGTATTACTGCTACGGCCGCGGGTCGCGCGAGTACGCCGTGATGCTGCCGTGTCGGCATGCTGCTATCGAGCCGGCATTCCGACACGGTGGAAGCCATCGGATAGGCGGGTACGTGTCGTGGCCCCCAGCGGGAGCCGGGCGAGAAGGCACTTAGGAGGTACTTAGAAGGCACGTAGAAGGCACTTAAGAAGGCACTTGGCCAATTAGCCGGCGCCATAGTAAACGATAGCGAATCCTCGGAAGAGTCCGGTAATACAGTTAGCGGGTGTCTTTGAGGTCCGAGAGGATCCTCGAAGGGGCCCGGTAATGGGATTAGCGGACGCCTTTGAAGTGGCAGAGAATCCTCCGAGGAGGTCAATAATATGATTAACTCGAGCCCAAGAGCTCGGGAATGTGAACGGCGCATGCGTGGCGCATGCGTGGTTCGCGGTCGTGCCCGCGTATATAAGGTGGAGCACAAGGAAAATCGGGGGAATTCGCTCCCCAACCAGGGCACTGCAGGCACGACCGCGACCACAGCTTTGTATTTTGGCAAACCAACATTAAACCTCTCACCATGGTATAACTGGCTTTCTCTTCTCTATGGCTTCGGCTTAACACTGTAATTTACACAACCACTCTATTTGTACGCTGTTAAATACGGCGCTACATATTTTGGTGCAGTGAGCGTCGCTCATGTTCCAGGTTGCGGTCACTTCCACGGTGCTTCCTATACGATCACAGTGCCGACACTGACTTCTGTCTGCCGCTCGAGACTGACGATCCTGTTTCAAGCGCCGTATCGTCGGCTAGGTGAGTAAAACTAATCTTTTGCCGGTTTAGCTTTCCGTTCCACTATGACTACGTTGCTACTCGCAGTGTTGAAGATTGTAATTCATTACTATCGTAGATTACTGACTTGCGCGCTTCGCGTGTGAGTGTTGCGGTCTCCGCGCAGCGTGCATTAGTTATCGCTCACCTTCGCGCATGCCTAGACGGCTTCGCAGCTTGAGAATTGCCGCCATTCGTTATGTATGAGTATTGAGTGTACGCCCGTGTGTACGTGAGTGTGCGTGTGTGTGCATGGGTGTGCGTGTACGCCCGTGTGTGCGTGCGTGTGCGTGTGTGTATACGCCTGCAACGCGTGTGTGCGCGTGTGCGTGCCAGGGTGTGTACCTGCTACCCGTAACGCGTGTGTGGACGTGTGCGCGTGCATGACTGTGTCTGTCGGGGACAGCTTAACCCCGCTTGTGTCTGTCGGGGACAGCTTCAACCCCGCTTGTGTCTGCCAAGGACAGCTCCACCCCCGCTTTCAGAATGGATCCGCCGCCGCCACCCGCTCAATACGACATAGCCGATCTGGCACACGTATTTAGCGAATCGTTACGCCCAACCGTTGAAGCGGCGGCTGCTACATTTCAACACGGCCTACGTGTGGCTGAAGCTCGGACTTCGGTTCCGCGATTTACTGGCGATAACGCGCCACTGTCGATAACGTTCGACGACTGGCTCAGCGCTTTGAATTGGAGACAGTTAGAATTGGGTCTCGACGCTTCGTCGTTACGCGTATTTGGCCTGTCCACGCTTGGAGGTCATGCTGCCGAATTTTCTCGCCGCCTTCTGCTTGAGCAGTCTACAATGACTTGGGAACAGATCACCGAACAGCTGACAAAACGCTTCCGTGATCCGCTGCGAGAAGTAGACGCGCAGAATGCGCTTAAGAATTTTCAACAGAGTAACGGCGAACATATTCGCCCATATGGTGACAGATTGTTGACTCTCGCACTGCGCGCGATTCCGGTCGACCGGCTTTCAACGCCTGAGACGCAGAGCCGCCTCGTCGACATTTTTCTGGATGGACTAAGGTCGGTCCATACCCAGCGACTGTTGCTTCATCGCAACCCTACGACGTTGACTGCCGCCATCGACCTTGCGGCCGACGAACACGTACTAGAGTCGTCTCTTGTGACACGACGACAAAATCGTAGCGACGCATTCGCTGACCCTTATGACACGACAGAGCCTATGGATGTTAATCTGCTTAGAGAGGTGCGCGGCTTGCGTACACTGATTAAGCAAGCCGTGCCACCGGTTCAGTCGCCCTCGATGAATGAGTCATCCCGAGACATGACACGCCAACGTTCACAGACACCCGCGCCCAGAGATGGCCCGCAGCAATCGCGCCAATGGCGACCTCCCCTCACACGACGCGATCAGCGTCCACCTGTTCGTAATCAGGCTTACTTACCACCTGCTTCGCGCCAACGCGCACCATTTCAATCTCCAACGAGGCAATCTACCCAAGCTCCGCGCGACACTCGTTGTTATGAGTGCGGACAACTAGGTCACTACGCGCGTGACTGCCCTCTTCGCCGCCGCTTAGAGGATTTTCGGAGGCGACCCCGCGACGCAATCGCACCGCCCTACCCTCACAACTTATAGGCATGCATGAATCTGCAGCATGCGGATCGCCGCCTAACGCTACATCTTCAGCGCCGATGTGCGGTATTACAGTCGGCTCACTCTCACTTACGGCTCTCATTGACACTGGTAGCGATTGTACGCTTATCGACTTTGCCGCATGGCTTCACTTACCCCAACACGTACGGGCGGCTGCTAGTTTCACCGCCGTCCGCGCAACAGATGCCATGCTTCTTTCGGTCACCGGCGATAAGCTGCATCTTGTAGGAATCTTGTTCACTACTCTTGACCTCAAAAGTGGCTACCATCAGATCCCACTAGCAGCGAAGGACGTTCCGAAGAGCTGCTTTGTAACGCCCTCTGGAAGTTATGAATATTTACGAACGCCTTATGGCCCGAAAAACGCACCCTCCCATTTTCAGCGTGTCCTCGATTACGTCCTGCAAGGACTCCGCCACAGATGCGCACTGGCTTATATTGACGATGTCTGTATTTATTCCCCGGATTTTGACACCCACATGTCCGACTTAGCCGAGGTTTTTGCCAGATTTGACGCGGCTAACCTCAAGATGCGACCCAGTAAGTGTACGTTTTTACAGAAGTCCATCAACTACCTGGGTCACATCATAACCCCGGGTTGTGTGCGACCCGACCCGGAGAAGATCTCTGCGGTGCAAAATTGGGCCCCCCCAACCACGCCAACTGCTGTTCGCCAATTCTTGGGGTTCGCCAACTACTATCGCAAGTTTATTAAGGGCTATGCCGATATTGCCCAACCATTAACGATTCTCACCCATAAAGACCAACCCTTTGTGTGGTCACACGAGGCACAGACTGCGTTCCAGTCTCTTCGTAAGCGCCTCACTGAAGCGCCCATCTTGGCACTGCCTGATGGAAGTCGACCGTACCGCCTCTATTGCGACGCTTCCGGCTACGCCGTCGGAGCAGTTCTTACGCAAATGGATGAGCACGAGCGAGAACACCCAGTGTATTATCTCAGCAAACAGTTGTCTGAGACGGAACAACGCTGGCCTACAATAGAGCGAGAATGTTTCGCGCTGGTATATGCGTTACGCAAATTTCGGCACTACCTCGTTGGTGCCGACTTTGTAATTCTTAGTGATCACAAACCACTTAAGTATCTGTTAGAAGCTAAGGCCCTACGCACGCAAACTCCAGCGGTGGGCCCTGTACGTCTCTGGTTTTCCCTCATGCCGACTGGAATACACGTCGGGTAAGACAATGTCCAAGCGGATGCGCTTTCTCTTTGCCTCCGAGGCGTCTACGCCCATGTCACCGCATGACTCATCAATCACCCCCACTACCTCATCACCGCTTGGCGTTATGGCCTCACAACCCATACACCAGGTGGTACTGCCTACGCCCGACGCTGGGGCTCACAAACGCACAGTCGAGTAGGTCCCATTCAGCTTCATCAACACCCTCCTCACCTAATCAGCAACCCCATCCTACCCTGACGCCCCTCCCACCTCCCCGCTACTGACGCTGAGCTCGCTGTCTTGCAACAGGCTGATTCACTCCTTAGCCAGATCATTCGCACATCACCAACCCCAACGAAAGTTCCATACGCGAGGCTAAGCTCGTTGAAAGCTATCTTCTTGTCGACGACTTGCTTTTTCATGTGCCGTCCGCGCGCAGGATGCTGACGCGGCGCCCCAATTAGTCATCCCCGCATTCTTGTACCTACGGTGCTCCCCTTGTTCCACGATCATGCGTACGGTGGACATCTCGGTTTTAAGAAAGTCTATAGCAAACTTCCCAGCGCGTATTTTTGGCCCCGCACTCTTCGCTGACGCTTACATTACATTAAATCATGTGTCGTATGTAACTGTCAAAAACTACAGCGAGTCCGCGCCCCCCGCCACCATGCACCGGCGCCCAGGCACTCAGGAGATGTGGTCGCCATTGATGTTACAGGTCCACACCCCTGCTCAAATGCAGGCAATCGTTATATGCTCACATTTTTGGATCTCTACACCTCATGGCCTGAAGCATTTCCGATGCCAGATAAAAGCGCTGCTACGGTAGCACGCATCATTGTCGATGATTTCATCCCTCGGCACTCATGCCCTCGATCTATCTTAACCGATAATGGAGGCGAATTCATCAACGAGCTCATGACACGATTGACCACATTGCTCGGAATCACCACATCAAGGTCTCCCCTACCACCCGAATCAAATGGACAATGCGAACGCTTTCACCGCACGCTTGCTAACATGCTCGCGTGCTATATTAATCGGGATCATACAGACTGGGATACAAAGATCAACTCAGTCTTATTTGCATATCGTACATCCATCAACGAGTCATCACAATTCACCCCCTTCTTTCTCACGTATGGTAGAGACGCACAGCTACCGCTTGACACGTTACTGCGGCCCGACGCTTGTCGTACGCTGACGACCCGGTAACTCACGCTACTGAACGTCTGCACCGAGCATTTGTTACGATGCAGCATAACACTACAGTCGCACGTGCACGTAATAAACGCCTTACGACAGGCGCGCAAAGGTTCAATCCTTTGACATAGGCGACCCTGTCTATCTATAACCCACGTTGTCGGCTAACCAGACGCCGAAGTTCGCTTCACAATGGCGGCCCTACTATACGGGTCGAGAAACTCTGTCCACTGCGATTTCGCATTAAGGCGCAAGGCCAAACACGTACTCGCGACGTTCATGTGAGCAACCTTCGACCGCATACCCATTCTCCGCATGGATGCGCCTCGAACCGTGCTTACGGTCGGGAAGGCCCAGCCCGACAACCAATGCGTCACGCGACGCTGGTTGACACCGGCGCCCCTTCGTCGCCCCACACGACGACAACCATCCAGCAGTGTGGCTAACACGCCAAGCACTGATAGCTGGGATGCGGACGACTTGTTGCCACTCGCGCGTTATAGCCGCGCACAATAGCAGTTCTGTTAAACAGCGATGTCGCGCACGACGCTTATAGATGCGTCGCTTCTCTGTTTCAGGACGATGTTCCTGTTGTCAGAGGTCGCCCTGCTCGTAGTAGCTTCGGCCTGATATCAGCCTCGCAAGGCTACTGACGTCCGGAGACCCACGATGGGAGTAGTTTTTATTCGAGAGGTCACATCTCCGGTCACCAAAAGTACCTGGGCATAGGATTTACCCTCAATTTCACTTCCATTTGCACTTATCTGGACTCGTTGCACAAGGATGGCGTTAGGATGTATAGATTACAACGCGACAGCCCCACGCTCCCCATCCCATCCCCTGACGACCACTACTTCGGGGCCTTAAACGGGATGTCAGATCCCTCGTGCAGCGCCATGGCGTGGTTTCGCCAACCGTCTGCGATCACTTAATCTGCCGCTTAAACGGACTTTCACTCGCTACATAATCCAGAGAGAAGCGCGCTATTCGTAGTGGTATTGGTTAAAATCGCAAAATTCCTATTGGCACAGCTACTGACGACGACAGTGAGCAACTGCAATGGCAATTATCTGCATGGGTACGAACAAGGAACGAATTTTAACCGTGACGACGAATCTTAACCGTCGTAAATTATACTCGCATCCAGACCGAAATGATATCGGAGGCGTTGTCGACTGTGATCTCTCATGCTTGTGAACTAACCTCAAGTGTGCGCACACTCATGTTTAAACATCACGGCCTTCCAGGCATCGGTGGCAACGGGAGTTCATTGCGATCACACACCTCCAGTTATCCCTTTCAGTCTGACAGTAGCGTTCGACAACGTCCAACCACACTTGACACTTACGATACACGCCATCTCGTTTTGCTGACGGGCCGCTTGCCCTCTACGCTACTTACCCCCCCCCCCCACCAGTTACGTGGAAGTTTTACTACTATCGAAAGCTCGCTGCCCCCTCCGTTATCTATGCACACAGCCCCCATGCAGACTTATTTTACTATTATAACCTCATACAGGCTATTGGTCCCGTGGACATGGGATTACACGTATCGCATTCCTACCCTTGACATATAACCAATGAACGTTTCAAGTGTACCAAATTCTGACACCCACCAGTGTTTCTTGTAACTCCACTGCGGGCATTACTTCCAAATTTCTCAGTTTTCTTGGAGTTTCACTCGACCATACCACTACGTGCAACCTGACGATCCACTGTACGCGCATGCTTACGCGGCCATCAGGGGTTCTGCGATGTCAGATCTCCCATTTACCAATCTCGACAGCGATTACGTGCCCTGTCGCGCATATTCTAAATGATGCCGCACTTATATCCACATTATGTACGAGCGCGGTTACGTTTTACGCACGGCCGACGCCGCCGCCACCTACCTGGTCGATGGTAGCTGGCCATATCTACACCCAACCATTACGATTAGCAATCTCGTGTCCAGTCACACCCAGCGGCACAAGTGACGATAAAGAGTTCCTTGTTCAACAACAAAAGACAGTTACACCTACAGTCTGGCTGTAAAGCCGAGTCCAAGCATTTCACACTGCATCATATTTCCATCACGAAACTGCTGTCGACGTGCAAATCGAAATACCCCCGCTCGACCGCCTGTTTCATCGCACTGCCCTAAATATGCGTCGGACATGTACGATGCGAAACGCCAGTCGACTGCCGACTCAGACGACTTAATCCCACCGGAACTTGAACCCCTAGCTCATATGTGCACGCTGACCTTGACGTCGCATACGCTGATTTAGTTGCTGCTGTCAAAACCACCAGACGCTTGCCATCTATTTGCCTCGCCGTATGGCAGGATTGGCAGCTCAGATATCACGCGCGCACGCATCATTCTGTGATCTATATCGGCCTCACATCTCTTCTGCTCACCGTTGCAGTCACCGTCACATACTGCTATTGTTGTCGATGCCGCCGCCGCGCACCCCTGAACCTCGACCTCAACCAAATCCCACCAATCGCATACCCCCCCCCGCCCAGCCGTACATGGATCGAAAGTGCCTCTCCCTCCCCTACCATTCAACGACCCCGCTCACTATTTGCCGCGATGCCGCTCACAATCATCGAGCCTCAGCGCGAATGGGTACATTCGCCCCTGAAACGCCCACCCTCCAGCCCCACGTCGATGGTTACCAGGCCCATCCTCTGTTACCAACACCCCACTACCCACCTCGGTACTGTACGATCCCCTCCCAATGTCAATATAGCACAGGCAGTGTCCGATACTTCCTCCACTTCCCCACCCCGATGACTGTGGCTGTGCGCCTCCCCACTCACTCCCATACTACACGGCACTATCTCACTGCGGGCCCGATCCGCGACCCGCTCCATGCGAAACCCGTTCCTTGCCCAATCCCCGCGCCCCGCGCTGTGTAGCCGCCCTTCCGCGCACCAGACATCGGTGACTTGTACCTTACTACTCCGATAAGTGGCCCAGTATTTAGCTAATACCGGCATAAAAGTGGTTTTACGCCTCCGACGACGTGCAGCATCTGCCGCTAGCACAAGTAGTGTAGTTAGTCGTTAGCCATTTAAGGCGACGCATTGATTTCTGTGTATTCCGCGGAAAATCCGCGACCGCACGCTAAACCAGTCTCGTGCCATAGCCGGCAGTCACTAGTATTTACTGTCCGACTATAACCCTGTGCCACGTGTTATGTCTTACACTTGACATTGTCAGGACCACGCTAATGGCTACGACGTGGGCGACAACCTCGCCACCAGCAGCCGCCTGGCTCCCGCCGCTGACACACGCCGCCTGTGCGTGCGCCGTGTGCGCCGCAGCCACCTGCACGTGCATCGCCTGCACGGAGGCCGCCCGTGCCTGCGCCGCCTGCGAGGAGGTTGCCGCGCCTACGCCTGCGCGGGGGCTGCCTGCGCCTGCATCGCCTGTTCTGTCGGTGCGGCCTACGCTCGGGCCTGCTACGACAGCGCCATCTGCCCCTGCGCCGCCTGCGTCGCAAAGCGGGGACAACAGATGCACACCGCCCCACCGCCGCACGCCCGGTTCATCGGCACGGCGGCGCCGCCGCCAACCCTACACCGAGCCGGGCTTCCGCCGTCGATACTCTCCGCCGAACTCATGGGATAGTAATCGGCCGCCCCCACTCCCGGAGGGGCACTACGCTGGCTCCTTCGTCGGGTCTGTCACCGATGAGCGCCTGCAGCTCGAACTTGACATCGGCGATCCGGACGGCCTTGGCTCGTCACCTCGACCCGGGAGTACGTCGTTCCTCCGTCGGGTCGGGCACCGCCGCCGACCGACGACGAGCGGCCTCGAGGTCAGCGAAGAAGCCGACAGCTAACTCCAGTTTGACGTCGAGCTCGAGGACGGGGTCGCCCCATGGCCCACCATCGTGTACCGGGACTACTTCGATCCCTTCGCTGGACCGGTCACCGCCGACTCAGCGGGTTACGAGGTCAATGTCGGCGTGGGAGGCGACCCCGATCCACCACCTACACCGGCACGCATCCGCCGGACGGCGAACGATCAGGCATGGACGCCATGATCGAGCCCTGGCGGGCCAACCGCCCGCCCCCAACGGATGTCAGGAGGAAGACGGTGCGGAGAAGCTGACCGCATAGGTCCTCGGCACGTCGTCCATTCCACATCGATAACCCGATAACACTATTCTATTGCTAGTCTCCTGATTCTAGAGCATAACACTGTATTTGTTGTATTGTATTCATTGTATTCTATAACACGGTATTCGTTGTATTGTATTCATTGTATTCCATGACACTATATTGATTGTATTGTATAATATTGTATTATGTAGGCTAACATTGTAATGACAGTAGTTATTGCATTCAGTGTATCCGGTGTAGTGTCACATTGTATCCTGCTATAATGGGGCTAATTCGGCTATAAAATAAACAAAACAAAGGAAAAAATAATCAATAAAATAAAATACAATAGAATAAAATACCATTATGCGTAAGGCCAGCCGGGAGGCTGGCAGTCGATGTTCACAGTGTGTACATCGGTTTAGTGGGGGGAGAAATGTAGCAGGGTACAATCAATGGCCACGTATATCTACGTATAACTGTGTGTATCTGTGTAGCAGGGTAGAGTCAATAGTTGTGTATCTACGTGTATCTAGCGATAGCGGCACTTAGAGGATAATCGAGTTAAAGACAAGTAGCACTAGAAACCGATCGGTGTGTATCTGTATGTATGTCTATATCTACACTATATCTGTGCATGGCCGGCGTTCCATAATTAGGTTACCTCCACGAGTGCTATGGCCGGCACGCTGTAATTGGGCTATAGTGGCGAGCGCCTCTATCTCGGGGCGCTGTAATTAGGTTACAGCTATGAGCGCCGCACTTAGCCACAGTAACGTATCACTGCTACGGCCGCGGGTCGCGCGAGTACGCCGTGATGCTGCCGTGTCGGCCATGCTGCTATCGAGCCGGCATTCCGACACGGTGGAGGTCATCGATAGGCGGGTACGTGTCGTGGCCCCCAGCGGGAGCCGGGCGAGAAGGCACTTAGGAGGTACTTAGAAGGCACGTAGAAGGCACTTAGGAAGGCACTTGGCCAATTAGCCGGCGCCATAGTAAACGATAGCGAATCCTCGGAGGAGTCCGGTAATACAGTTAGCGGGTGTCTTTGAGGTACGAGAGGATCCTCGAAGGGGCCCGGTAATGGGATTAGCGGACGCCTTTGAAGTGGCAGAGAATCCTCCGAGGAGGTCAATAATATGATTAACTCGAGCCCAAGAGCTCGGGAATGTGAACGGCGCATGCGTGGCGCATGCGTGGTTCGCGGTCGTGCCCGCGTATATAAGGCGGAGCACAAGGAAAATCGGGAGAATTCGCTCCCCAACCAGGGAACTGCAGGCACGACCGCGACCACAGCTTTGTATTTTGGCAAACCAACATTAAACCTCTCACCATGGTATAACTGGCTTTCTCTTCTCTATGGCTTCGGCTTACCACTGTAATTTACACAACCACTCTATTTGTACGCTGTTAAATACGGCGCTACAACGGCACGCACACACAACAACGGAGCAACTCCCACTCCTGCCTGCTGGCCCGTTGATTATGCAATGTTGACGAATGCTAGAGTAACTGGCACATTGTGTAGTTAATAAGTACGTAACCTTATAGCCTAACGCGTATTAGTTTGTCCAATATCACTGCTGGTTACATTACAAGCAAGACTTGAAATCGGTTGTTGATATGCATTTACGTGCCATAAATGTCATCCAGGAGTCAAGCGATAAGTCGCCGATGACGTAAACATTTGTGCGGCCCGTATGTTTTGGACGCCAGATGAAATGGAGGTGTCAGCGGTGTAACCACGGCCAAGGACTAAACATGGAAATGGAGTAAAACACACGTACTAATCACGTACGCACATGGACAGCCCTGACAAAAAGTTCCTTATCACAACCGTGCGTGTTTACGAAATCACTGATGATAGCATTGCGTACGGCCGAGCATGCGTGCGAAAATGTCCGGTGCACTATAAATCTGTATCACACCCGCTTTGCCGGCAGCGGTTTGAAACTGTACAACTGATTTCTTGAACTGCGGATTTCAATTAGACATTTCTTAGTAACCAGCAGTGATGTTGGACAAACTAATACGCGTTTGGCTATAAGGTAATGTACTTATTAACTACACAAGGTGCCAGTTACTCTAGCATTCGTCAACATTGCTGAATCAATGGACCTATTATTCCTTTAATAGAATCAATTTCTAATCACTATCAGTCAATAGACGGCTGAGCTGAAGAAGTCTAAGAAGGGTTCAGGCTTCTCCCTACGTTGCGCAAACCAGGCGCGCCCGCCCTGTTTGGGAAAACTTCCCCCCCCCCCTGTTTCAATCGTTGCGCCACGTTTAAATTATTTCCGCCCCGATTAAAAAGTTTTTTTTTAATGGGAATGGCTACATGAGGAACAGGCTGAGTGAGACAGCTTTGGAGGCTGTATCACAACGCGTATAGTCTTGTTCTGTGTGTTTCCGCCCTGTACGTGTGAAGGGTCACGTGGTGTGATCGCAGGAGTTGGAAGATGGCAGAATAAGAAGTGGACGAATAAACTATGTGTGTTATCTTTCACTCTGAGTTATGTTCATACTGGCGTGCTACATGGTGGCAGCGTGCTGCGAGCGGTAACAGACTATCAACAGTGAGTACAGTCGGTGACACTCCTACTTTTTCATTAGAGGACAATCGTGTCTGACAACCAACATCGCCAAGTTAAGTGTCAGCGCCACCAACTACCCGGGAACTGCGCCGTGAGCATGTTATGCGGCGTGCCCTGTCCGAATGCGGGCTGGCGTTGAAAACACCTAGCCGTGACGAAGCGGATTCGATAAGAACTGGAAGCCGCAATACTGACAGACTTGCAGACCAACGTGCATGCTATTCATAGCATACCCTGTGGGTGTACAGCTGAGACTGACGGAGTGATACAGGTCTATCTACGTTATCGTGTGTGTGGGCGCCCAGTTCGACCATGCAGCCCAGCAATTCGTCGTGGGATCAAGGTGGACAGGGACTATAAGAGTAAGAATGTAGTCTGTAAGAGTCTACAGTACGTACCAAGTTCCTACGGTGCCGGATACAATACCAGGAATCAATGAACTCTATGCGCGTCATGACGTTTCATCTACATTCACATGCATGTGCATTACAATTATGTACAGTACTACTGTGTAGAGCAACGTGTTCGCGTGGTATGATGTGTTAAGTGCTCATGTATTGATTATTACGATGTGTTAAAGGCTTACTTTAAATGGCCTATGTTTCGTAGTATGATGGTACACAAATGGCATATGTACCTACTGGTTAGAGGCACATATACGGAAAGTTCAGTGCGATAAATGCTGTATGACAGTACACCCTCGCGATATTTGCATACACAAGTACAGTAGTAGTGTAGATGCATGTATGTTGTACACATACCGGCATACACATCTTGTTGAGGTGACATTTAGGTAGTGCACCACAGGGATCCAGTATGGGAGACCATGAAGATGATGTACCGAGGGCCGAAAGGGATGACCTTGCCCCACAGGCACAAGCAGGGGATGTTCCCGCCCAACATGTACAGGAGGTGCAACATTATTATAGGCCAAATATTAAGGCACCAGGTCCGGTAGACGTCACCGGTGATGACAAAAAGGTGAATTGGGAATTGCACAAGCAGATGTGGGAGAACTATTCCATTGCATCCCAGTTAGAGCACCAGCCACAGCGAGTACAGCGTACAGAGTTGTTAAATAGTTTAGATCGGGATTCTATTTCACATTGCGCATCTACAATGGTTTAGGCGGAGTACCAGGTGATACAGTACAGGATATAATCTCGTAACTGGACTCCTATTGCATTGGTCAGACCAACGAGGCAGTAGCACATTATTTGTTCTCCGCACGTGACCAACGTAAGGAGGCGTCTGTAGACATGTGGCTGTCCGACCTCAGGACAAAACAAAAAGTCATCACTTGGACACACCGCAACATGAATGCTGAACAATTAGCTTTGAGAAATCGGATAATCTGTGGCATTCTGGATAAGGATGCGCAACAGAAAATGCTGGATGAAGGCAACCCGGATTTAAACAGAGTGATTGAAATCGCAGAAGCCAGCGAGGCAACCCGGCAGTACATGAAAACCATAGGTAACACTACAGAAGTGCATAAGGTGTCACACCGACATGAGGCGTCACACAAACCTGATCGTCAAAAACAGAAACAAAAGGGACAGCGACCAAGTGGACCCCGGGAGGCGGAATGCATATACTGTAACAGACGCCATGTAATGGTGAAGGAGAAATGCCCTGCT